TATTTTTGGGCAATATCTAGGCAATCGCATTAAATTCAGAACCACCATTTTAAGACTGACCTTGACTTATAGATGGCTCATAGGCTAGGCCTAGTGTCAGGCTTCTTGTTTCCTTCATATTCTCTAGGTTTTGTTTCGTTTATGCTGATGATCTTTGAAGAATTGGAAAGCTAGTGTATTATTCTGTGTCCTTTTGGGTGGTCCTTAAAAAGACAAAAACCTGGTCTCGATTTTAATGCCTTTTGCTGAGAAATAACCTCACTTCAGGGGGTGGGAGATAGAGATCCCCTGCATGTGACTGAGTGACAGGCTACATCATACAAAAACTCTATTTGATTCTCTTGCAGTATGATTCTCATACTGTTTCTTGGTATATGTGTAGTTATTTTTAAAAAGACCAAACATAGCTGGCCATCCATTTCAGCTTGCTTTTGCAACCAATACCGATTCCATATTTTCTCACATTTTCAAATGTACCTTTGAGGACCAAAAACCTATAACCAGGGACACCAATACAGCAGGGTACTTAAGAGGCTGGGTTCTGCATGGCCTGCCATCTTTAATAACTGTCTGTTATATCTACATACATTCTTCAAGAGAAGAAGAATCTATTTGGGCTCGAATTCTCCTCCTCTAGTCTGTTATAAATGTTGGACCAATTGCAAGCAGGGTTCAATTAGGCAAACAACAACAAACATGGAAGCTCCTCCTTATACAACGGGGAGGAGGGGCTGGTTTGGAATAGCTCTGCTTTCTTTCTCTCTTAAACCTTCATCCTTGCCTTCCCATCAATTGACTTCCTCCCCTCCTCCCACCTCTCTTTTCAAGAAATAAAGTTTTCACATAACCACCTTTTCTCCATTGCAGTACACATTCGTTCTCTCTACATATCTCGCCACACACTGAATTTATTTCATCTCTCTGTAAAATGCATGTCAGGGATACGGTAATCTTCTCTCCAGCCTGGGAGGTTCAATTCGGCCTGAACATTGAATAATAATATTCATGAGCTTTAAAGCTTGTTGACTTGGTGCTTTTATTTGGGGGGCGGCTACATGTGTGGGTTCGCGCGCGGGGAAGGTGGGGGTGACGGCGACATTCGTCCCAAGAAGCCTAAGGTTCATTTGCCCCGCGGAATGTTAGCGCTTTACTCATCCAAGGAAATTCTGGGTTCGGCTGCCCACGCGCGCGCGGATTGAGAATGGTGCCTTGGGTTGCCCTCTCTGTTCCTACACCATCCCTCCCTACTTCAGCAAGCAAGATTTCTCCAGCTCAGGGCGAAATTCTAGTTGCAGGCGGCGATGTGTGTGCGTGTGTTTCTGTGTGTGTAGGGGCGGTCTCTCTCTCGCTCGCTCTGGTGCCAGGCGGGGTTTTCAATCCCCAGAGGAGAGCGGTCGTTCTCAGAGAAACGGGGAAACCCACCCTCGCTCAAACGCCCAGTGGCGGGAGGACGGACGCGCGCGCGCACGCAGACACGCACACATACACACACACACACGCTGGTTCTTCCACCGAGCAGCACACATCTATCTTCCACCCCTCGGGAACCGCGGCTTCCTCACTCCCTCCGCCGCGATTTCTCCTAAGCTGCCCAAATTCTGATCGAGGGGACACCGGTAGTGTCCGCCTCCCGCAGGCATTCGCACAACGAGTCCAACCTTGACACGCGTGGCGGTGATCACCTGGCAAATTTCCCGCGTCTTGCCCGGGCGTGATGGGGCTCCTTGCGGAGGGCTGGGGTCACCGATTCCGCACTCCGGGAGGCACCGAAGCCTGCGGATTCAAGGGATAAAAAAATAGAAGGCAGGAGGTGGGGGTGGGGGGGAAGGAAGGGGTGAAAAGCCGCAATGCCTGTTGCTTGGACGGGGAGCGTGGCGGATTCTGAAGACGCCCCTTCCACCCATTCGCCTTGTTTCTTCGCCCCTTGGGCTGCAGGTCTCCGGAGGACCGAGAAAACCGGTTGCTGGAGGCAAAAGGCGATAGCAGGTGAGTCCCATCTTCCCTCCGCCACGCGCGTGTGGAACAGACGAATGAGGCGAGCAAACGGGGCTCTACGAGGGCCCGCGCTTCCGAAAGCCCGTGGCAGTTTCAGGAAGGCGGCGGAGGCGCTAGGCTGCAGGATGAACGAGCTGGTGCAACTTTCCCGCATCGGTGAAAGTTGTATCGGAGGACAAACTCTTCCCCCCACTCCATTCCCCCAGCCCCCTCCCCTAGACAGACGTGAACTGGTATTTACTTAGAAGCAAGCCAGCCCCTCGGACACTATTCCCTAGGAGCCCTTACTTCCGAGGAAATGCCTGGAAAATGGCAGTGACCGGGGCTGCACATCTCTGGTCGCTGGGAATCCTGCAGAGGAGCCATCGCGGGGCAATGGAGTCACGCCGCAATCCGAGACAGCCCTGGCTACTCAGACGGAACCTCCCCCGTGGGTCTTGTGGCTGGTGCAGCCAGCCCAGGATCGCAACCTCGGCGATCTTTAGAAAGGAGTGGGAAGCTCCGAGGGGGAGGACTTTCCAAGGGCCACTGTGCCTGAATTTTCCGGAGGGGGGCGGGAAAGGGGTGTGTGATTTTTCGACCCTCCTTCAGGACCCAGGTAAGGCAACCAGCTGCGGAACGGAAGCCTGAGCCCCAACCAAGCAGGCTTCACGTTTCCGCCTTTCGTTCTCCTACTCCCTGTGCTTTCCTTATCTGAACTTCTAGGAACGACGTAGCGTATTGTGCTATTGTCAATTAAAGCTGGGGAATCTCCTACACTGAGCTAGCGGCGAGTGTGTGCATGTGTACCCGCGCGGTCTCTATTAGGGAGAGAGAGAGTTGCTCGGGTGCCCCCTTGTGGCTACCTTCCATATAAAATCTTTTATTTTATAAATGAAAGATTATGGCTTTTTAACTTTAAGTTGAAGACGAGATGTGGGGAAGAAGTCAAGATTTTGATAGTGAGAAAGCTGATTTTCACCTTCATTCACACTTGGTCTGATAGAAATCATTGTCACAACATGATTTAAGTTAGTGATTCTTCACAGTTGGTTAAGAGTTTTCAACCACCTTCTGTTTTTTGTTTAACATAGCTTTTCCACATTCTGGCAAGTTTTGCTTATATTTAAAAAGAAGATAATGATGCTACTTTGTGAGCTATTTCGTAGTAGCATGTTAGAGAGTGGCCAGTTGTAGCCATTTCTCCTAGCTCTTCATCAAAGTGTCAGGAGCATGTGCATGAACATATAGACACACACACACACACACACACACACACACACACAGAGAGAGAGAGAGAGAGAGAGAGAGAGAGAGAGAGAGACATATACAGACACACCAATCCTGCAAAACAAATAGAGTAAAAGGAATAGCAAAAATAAAGTACTGAAATGGAACACCATTTTAAAAAAATGAAACATAACATGCTTTTCTTCTCTTCAAATTTGATTCTCAGCGTAGCCTTCTCTAATGACTATTTCTTTCCCAGATGTGTGGAGCCACATCTCCCATCATCCACATTCTGCAAACCATAATGCTGGAGGTAGAGGTAATAGTCCCATGCGTGATGCAAGGTTGAAGAGAAATGATGCATTTGTAAATCACATGGCGCAAACCTGATTCAAATTTTCCTCCATGCATGCGTGCCAGACTTTCTCCCTACATATGCACATACATTACAGCATTAGGTTGCTGTCCCAGAAGATGGGTCATTCTAAAATACCTCCTTTTTTATTGCAGAGGGCTTCCTTTCTGCAGATTAGGTACACCAAAAAAAAATGACATCAGAACAGCAGCAGTATTGGGGAAAAAAAGAAAGAAAGAAAGAAAAGGGGGTGTGTAAGAGATGGTTTTGTTCTGCTACACCAAAATCTGCAATTTGATATCTTCTGAAGTTAGGCTTAAAAAATACAAATAAAAGAAATTGGCAGAGGTGTGCACGCTGCAGTCTTTAGAACTCTGGAAATGTCATAAGACAAACACTCCAAGAGATATGGATGCTTTCCAAATTGGCTACTCTGGAGCTGTGAACAATGGCTACTTCATGTAAAAAGAGCATCCTTGTAATGGGTCAGCTTCTTGACAACACTTACAGAAATAAGGTTTTGCATATTGTGTACATTAAGCAAAGCTCATGTTGCTGCTCAGGGGCTTATTAAACAGCCGGTTCAGACAGTAAGAATTTAGGGAAATTCTAAATGTTCAGTGCAGTCTATCTAAAACATTTTAATTGCCTCTCTTTTGTTCAAAAGCTCCCAAGGCAATTTGCAACACTCATAAAGATACTAAGGCTGGCACCGGGTAGTACAAATGAAGTAATTAGGTTTCAATGCTTCGCATCAGCCTCCGCATCCTTCAGATCTGTTGGCACTACAGCTCCCACACTCCCAACTACTAGCACAGCCATGGTGGCTAGGGAATTCTAGGGTTGAAGTCATACAACATCTAGAAGGCGTTTGATTGGGAAACAGTGGAATCTATTTCTGAATGGAGTTGCTTTTGCTGACATCACTTTGTTAAATCATCAATTCAGATGTATCTTAGATGGAATCCTAGGAAAAAGCTTGGAAGAGACAAGGTTTGACAGTGAAAGGACATTAATGTAGCAGACAAAGCTTTCTTGTGAAAGAATTACACATAAATTCCAGCTTTAAAGGGCTTGCCTGTCAGACCTATTATAGTTTTGGAAAAAGAATGGCTTCATATTATTTGACATGTGATTTAGATTCATGAGCAGTTGAAATTATTTGGCACTCCAATGATCACTCTACCTTGTGCCCATAATTTTCAGACTTCTGATTTGGTGTCTTCAAAATGTTATGGTGCACCCATCATTCCTAGAGGCCCAGATTGAGAGGGCCAATCTCTGAGTGTATAATGCAGAGGATACTCCAGAGGGGTAAGTCCTGATATATCTCGGCATACAGACATTCATCTCTCTCATTCCTTCTCCCTATTCCTCTCAGTGGAAGGAAATTTAAGCAGAATTCTGAGAGGAAGGAATGAAGCAATAAAATGGCTGCTTCCGTAAACTTAGCTTGCGCAGTGAGGATTTCCATGATGAAAAATCAAGAACTATTGCATATCTACTATTAGGAAGTGCCTACTGCCTTTAGTAGGTGTAAGGTACTAACTTCTTTCCCTGTGTCCCCAAGAAGAGAGTGGAGCGAGGCAGGGTATCATTGATGTTATCAACTATAATAGATGACAGAGGTGTTACTGAGGACAGTCCACATGATGGTATTAAGTAGGACATCAGTAGCTATTTGGACAGTTCTGCCCTTCTTTTTGCCTATTGCTCCTCCATTTTCATACATAGTCCTCTGCCTTCATAGTTTTGTGTTGCTCAAATAGGATGCTTGCTAGATTTGTATATGTTCTGACTCTACTGCTGCTATCTTCAGGCTCCCGCCGTCTCAGTGATGACCTTCCTCCTTTGGGACAGCTTACCCCTGCATATCTGGACCACCCCCTCCTACCTGTAAAAACATGGCTCTTCAGGAAGGCATTTGGAGATGAGTAAGATCATGCTACCCCCAATACGATGGCACATTGGATTGTAATTGTACTAATCAGATTTTGCTCTTAATCTTATTCTTTTGATATGGAAAGCCACTCAGGAAATGCAGTGGCGTACCGTTTGTTACAACAAACATTATAAATAAATCTAATTAAATGTTTACTAGAGGATGTATACATTTAATATTGGTTTCAAAAAGATAATATCAGCTGCTGAGAGACAAAATACCAGAGTCACTTATGTTTGTCCTGAATCCCAGAAAAAATAAATCTATTTTACTTGAATGTCTGTTCACCTGACTCTACAAAATGTAAATTAAAACCTACAATCTGGCAGCTACACTGTTACTTATTTGTCGCTCACCTTTGAATAAGTACAGGCAAGCAATTTGCTGATTTTCTGCCTTTCCAAAGTTTGTGGCACACCAAGGCTCTGAAAAGCTTTTAAAAAATGAACCAAATTCAAATCTGGTCTGTCTCATTTAAGTAGGTATTACCTGATCGCTTGGAAGACATTTTGACTCATCATTACCCATCAGAAAAAGGCTACCAAATACAAGCTGCAAAAATTCAGAATGTCCCAAAGGGGCAGCCATGGGGTTATGTGGTAGCCCTTTGGTCATCATGAGTTTAGTAGCTTAAATCTGGTAGGCTTAGTTACTAGGAGTTTTTCTACTGTCCCTATTTATGCAAGCCAAAAATAAAGGGCCAGGCTAGCGCACTCTTTCTATTATAGATGAAATGTTGCTTTCAGAAACTGAAAAAAAATTACGTTAATGAAGGTTTTTCGTTTGGCTAATAGTCTTCCATCAAAATGAGCAAAATTCACAGAAGTATTTCTTAACCTGAGAAATTTTCAGATGTGTGGACTTCAATTCCCAGAATTTTCTAGGCAATGTGCTGACTTGGGAATTCTGGGAGATGAAATCCACACATGTGAAGATTGCTGAAGTTGATCCACAGGGCACTCTCCGTTCCTCCTTTGACACTGGCAGCTTCTTTAGCTCCCACCTCAAGTCCAGCTCCTGTGCTCTTTTCTTGATACAAGGCTTCCTTACTCTTTCAGTAGCTTTAGTTCCTGAATTATAACAGAACTCTGCTCCAAATGATTGCCCTGTCTGGCTAAGGTCTCTTTAGCTGCTGTCTTGGAAACAAGGAAGTACAATATAGTTTATGTGTGAAAGCTGTAATTTCCTAGACCTAAAGCCCCTTAATGTATATTAATTTCAAAAGGGCTTGCTCCAAGTCTCCTTGGTAATGGTTAATTGGCCAGTCTATCATAGGCAGGGGTTTCCTCATCATTCTGGGTGCTTTTAAGCACAACAATCCATCATTTATAAGGACTAAAATTGAATCTCTTTCATCGTTTAATAGGATTGCCTTTTTGGCAAAAAATCCATTTTCATGAAAGGGAGGAAAGACCCAAACAACTTTGCTTGGCTCCTTTGATGGAATTCTAGGCTCATAACCTTTTATAGTTCTGCTGTGAGATAATTTTTTTGAAAGTCTACAGGACCTCTCTCCCTCTCTGGCTCTCTGAATTGGGCAAAGATCCATTGAGTACATCTGGGAAAGCCACTAGGCTGTTCCACCGATTGCATAGTATTCATTAAAAAAAGTACAATATGTGCCGTAACGTTTTGCTTCCTGATTGTGTTGTACACACTTTCTTTCCTTCCTTTTTTAGAAGAAAAGTTACAAATATTCTCGGCATCCTTGGTGCTAAAAATATAAACATATATAAACAGAATCTAATATTCAATGAGGTGCATTGAGAACAAGCTTTAGCCACTGATTCCTGATTACAAAGAAAATATTCAAACATTAACCCTTAAGTCTAATTTATTTGGTTTGGGTGTAATGTATTATATGGAAACAAATACAGGTAGTCCTCAACTTATAATAGTTCATTTAGTGACTGTTTGAATTCACAAAGCCTTTGAAAAAAAAAAGACTTATAACTGTTTTTTATACTTATGGCCACTGCACCACCCCCATAATAATGTGATCAACATTCAGATGCTTGGCAACTGATCCATATTTATGACCGTTGCAGTGTCCCAGAGTCATGTGGTCCCCTTTTGAGACATTCTGACGAGCAAAGTCAAAGGGGAAGCCAGACTCATTTAACAACTATGTTATTAATTTAACAATTGAAGTGATTTGTTTAACAAATGTGGCAGGGAAGTAATATGGGGCAAAACTCACTTAACAAAACTTTGGGCTCAATTGTGGTCATAAACCAAGGACTGCCTGTATTGTAGTTGATAAATTATACTTTCATACTTCATACGATATAAAAATATAGACCAAAATATGTGGCGTATTCAACTAACTATATAATAAAGCATGGCTTAGCATGGTATTTGCAACAAGTATATTGGTACTTTGGTACTCAACTGCTTTGAAATCTATCAAATTTGGTACTCAATGCATTTTGTTGCAAAAATTTTGTCCCAGTACTCATTGTTTTTTTGGGGGTACTCAACGCACAAGCTAGAACTTGCCGATATTGACTCACTACATTAATCCTTAAGAAAAAATTTTGTTTGGTACTCATTGTTTTGGTATTCATTTTGCCTCCTGGAACCAATTAATGATGATCCTTAAGGTACCATTGTATTAGATAATTTAATCAGATATACAAGTTTCCTCTTAAATGTTCCATTTCCAAGGCTAAAACTTTTGGCAATTTGGGATGAAGTTGGATCAGTAGATATTACTTTCTACATTTTTTTTAAATAGGGGAAGGAAACAACTTCTGAGGTGAATATGGTGATTTTTCTGTTTATTACTATACTTATTATTTTATTTACTTGCTAATAGTAAAAAAAAAAATTGAATGACGCTGACGTGACAGATGTTTCAATCGGATTTAAAGTTGTGTGTCAGAGATTGTTTTGGACATATTAGTGAATGATTCATATTCAGAACTGGAAGGCAAACACCTGTCTCTGTTGGGCTCTACCTGTTCCATCTTATCTCCAGGCAATTTAATATATAGGTGAAATCATTTGGAGAGTTTGCAAGCCATTCAGATAGTAATGACACACCCAGCTACTGATACCTGGTGTTTAAAATAGCTCAAAAGAGAGTAAACACATTAAAGCTTAATCCAGACAAGAGAGATGCTCTTGGATACTTGATAGGCAGTGACATTTCTATGCTGGACAAAGGTTGAAGCTGCTGCATGGGTATATTTCACAAACAGCTGATTTGAAGCCAGTGGAACTGGATCTACCTTTTAGCAGATTTCTTTTTTCTGCTAATGGTTACTTTCCCAACCTCAACCTCATCTGATTGGTTTTTTTTTCCTTTTGGAATTTATTTTGGAATTTACAATATATAGTATGGATCTTCTAAACCTTTCAAGTCTATATGTGCCTCTTACAGGTCCCCCCCTCAAAGAAACTACAGTTATTTTGTTCAGATATAGTTGGATTGCGTTACTTGGAGGGAGGGGCCTTTATCCCTTATGTCTTTGCTTAAAATATGTTGGAATGTGACAAGGAAGATATTCAGAAGCAATGGTCCAATCATTATTTTCTTACATCGGTAAGGTCCCCAAATAAAGGACGTATCTTTTCAGCAGATCTGTCAAAAGCCTAGCCCAGAAATGTTGCTTATAGGCATTTTCCTCACCAGGCTCCCATGCAACTGATTTTTTTTTTTTAAATATCATTTTACTTAAATAGAAGTTAAATGGGAATCTGACACGTTGCAAAGCAAAGTGGCAGGTTCCAATCTCACTCCTCCCTACGACCAATTAGATCCCACAGATTAGGCCTCCTCCAAATACCATCCGCTAGCCAATGTCGACTGTCGACCCCTCGGGGGAGGGCCTTCTCTGTGGCTGCTCCGGCCCTCTGGAACGATCTCCCCGTGGACATCCGGACCCTCACCACCCTTCCGGCTTTCCGCAAAGCCACTAAGACCTGGCTGTTCCGGCAGGCCTGGGGCTGATGAGTTCCCAGCCCCACTTGAATTGTTGCGACTGTTGCTTTGTTTTTAACTTGTTTTGTCTTTTTGTTTTGTTGTTTGTATTCCCCCCTCACCTTTGTTTTGTTAGCCGCCCTGAGTCCCTCGGGAATAGGGTGGCATACAAATGGAATAAACATTTCCAAACATTTCACTTTATTTCCAAGAGTGGAATTGTTTTCAGAAAATAAAAGTGATAAGTAACTGCCACCTACTCAGAAAAAATTGTAGTGATAAACATTCTGTAGCACCAGAGATGATGGTGAGAAATATAACCACCTGTTTTGTGACTGATGTGATCCATCATGGCAAACCAGTTTGTGAAGTGTATCCTTGCAGGCCTTTGGAAAAAAAAATGCTCACAAAATGCTCTCACAAATTCCAAGTTAGTTTCTCTCCCGCCTGTTAAAAGCCTTCTGCTTCCTCTCGGAATGATACTTATGGGTATGCCCAGTGGGGTGCTAACAGTCCCTTGTACCCAGTTGGAGAGTAGAGTGGATAACTGAAGCTTCCCAACAAAATATGTTCTGGATACCACAGAGAAAATCTTTGTACTATAGTGAATGTGAAATGCTTTTTACATCCTGGTCATTACTGTAATGGATTTATGTTGCAGTTACATTGTGCTAATCTTTGGCTGTTCTAACTGGCTGCCTACACTATCCTTTCTTCAAGCCAGCCAATTCTTCTGTCAAAGAAGAATTGAGATCTCTTTAGCCTGAACAAAGAGTTGAAGGCCGATTCGCGTCATGTTCTCAATTCCTGGTCAGGTCACCTGAGCTGATATAGGTTTCATCTACAACCAGGACAGGGTTTATCATCTGCTAGGTGGTGGAATTCAATACTCTGATGTGGAATTTAGTAGTCGGTGATCTTGCCAGAAGCTTGATTTTTATAATATGGCATTGTTAATAGAATGATAGTTTCATCTCTATCTATCTGTGTATCTATCATCTGCCTCCCTCCCTAACCTCCCTCCCTCCCTCACCTCCCATCTTTTGAACAGGATTTGGCATGCATCCTGTTCTTTCCCTTGTTATTCCCCAAAAGAGCAACCCTGTGAGGTAGGTTGGGCTGGGAGAAAGTGATGGGCTCAAAGTCATCCAGTGAGCCTCCATGGGCTAAATATGGATTAGAACAAGGAGGCTTTCTTAATAGGAATATGGGGTTTTCAAGTTAAGTTGGAAAATGTTCATTAGGTATATTTTAAAAAAGTAGCTAATATCTGCATCTATAGTCGCTTTGGGTGTGTTTTGCTGGAAAAGTGTAACAGACAGATAAATTGTCTGCAAATTAACATGAGCACATGGAGGTGCCTCCCATGCACCTGCAGATGTATTTTATTCATCTTACCTATTGAGTGCACATTACACTTAAGTCATCCTATTCAATGAATGGGACAGTGCTCTTTACTATCTTAGTCCTGTCCCACAAGACCTTAGTCCATCCCCATCAAGGTTCTAAACTTGCCTATAATTCATGTATCTTTCAGACTTGGAACAGCCACTCTCCCTGGTTAGCAGGATTCAGAATTGTGAACCCATATTTGAAATTGTAGTTAAAACTTCTGCCAATAGAAAATGGCAGTCTGGGTTCACATAACAAGTTCAATCTTGGGTAAACCTTGATTAAAGGACCATATGAAATGGGATGGGTATGCATGATCAAAGCTCCAACCACCCAATTAATTATGGAAGGTGACTTAGCCTTTGTGTGAATGTAATGAGATACATTCCAGTTGATGAGATACACTCTCGCACTTCAGTTTTATCCAGTGTGAATCAATTCTGCGTTAATATAGAAAATATACCCAGTCCACATACCTTTTGTTTGGATAGTGGAAATTCTAAAGTGTTGGTTCATACCTAGCTTTCCCCCGCCTGTTCTGTCTTCCACAGATAGCACTCCCTAAGTCATATTCTCCAAGACTTCCTAAGAAACAGAGAAAGTACTGGAAGGAACAGATGACAGAGTGGATATACAGTTACCTGGTGCCCCAATATGCCTTTTCTGGACTGGTTCCTCTACCACTCAGTTGCCATGTGGCTGCTCCTCCAGAGTTTTGTTCTGATGGCCTTTTGTTTCCACTCAGCCACCACTTTTCCCAAGGGGTGTTACCCCTCCACAGAAGATGGCTTCAAAACGTTCCGCTGCAGCAAAGCTCAACTTACAGTTATCCCAAAAGATATACCCAATGATACCAACAAGTTATACTTGGATTATAACCAGATTTCTTTCCTGCCCAATGACGCCTTCCAACATTTGCCACTTCTAGTAGAACTAGACTTGTCCCACAATGTCATAAGTCGCATGGAAGTCGGAGTCTTTAGGGGCTTGTCAGAGAACCTGCATTCACTGGACTTGTCTTCTAACAAGCTAGTGTCAATCAATAAAGATGTCTTCAGTGCACTAAAAGCCAAAGCCAACTTATCCAACAATCCTTGGCTCTGTGACTGCACACTCCAGCAGCTCGTTGAGAGAGTAGAGCTGGTTGCTGGTACCTCTGATGGGATTGTGTGTGATGCCTCTGCACGGAAAGAGCACATTGGCAAGCCTTTTCTGCAGTTGATTGGAGACATAGATTTCTGCAACATCTATAAAAAAACCACAGACATCGCCATGTTGGTCACCATGTTCGGCTGGTTCGCCATGGTGATCTCATATTTAATCTACTATGTCCGGCAGAATCAAGAGGATGCCCGACGACACTTAGAGTATCTCAAGTCCTTGCCCAGCAAGCAGAAGAAGTCAGAAGAGTCATCTACAATTAGCACTGTAGTGTGACCAAAATTAATCCTTTCACCCTCACAAATCCCCAGGAAACTATTGTCCATTGGAGTAGATAGGTTTTACATCTACTTCAGGTGGATCGTGTCTGCTAGATGCTTGAATGCACAATGGCTGAAGAGACTGTTATTAAACAAAGAATGAAATTTTTAAAAGACTTAAGGAGGTAAGGCCTTGCTTATATAAAAGGCCTCTCTTACTTTCATTCCTGAGCAATGAAAAAACACAAGTAATCATAAATCATAGCCATGGTTGAATTCACTGGCACAATTCAATGTATGGAATAGTGCCATGTTATGTATCAGTTATTTCTCAGCCCTGCAATGGAGGCACCGTTGCACCTAGACTTTGCAAAACCTCACAGCTCTCAACTTGTACTATTCTATGAAGTTCCCATCCTATAATGTTCTAGAGATGCCAAGAATTGGGAGTGAGATGATTTTGTTGTTTTCTCTTGTTGTCACAAGGATTTTGCTGCAGCCCTAACTTACCGGAGTCAAGAGCAAACTTCCCCAACCTGGTTCCCACTAATTGTGTTGGGCGTTTAGGAGTTGCCCTTACATAGTGGTGGTATTCTAGGTTTTGGGAGGGAATAATAATAATAATAATAATAATAATACAGTAATAATTAAGTACTAGAAGACATGCCAGCCTGTTATTCATGTGCATAATCCCAAATTCAAATACTGATCCTTTTCTTTGGACACACACGTTAATAACCACTGTTGAGTTTCCTTTCCAATGCTTCATATCAAAATGTTTTTTTTAAATAAATATTTTTCCTATTTGCAGGAATCTATTAGTATATTAAGTATAGAGGGACGGTCAAATAATATATTAAGCCATTATTGCCATTTTTATTGCTCTTTTAAGATTCTTTGTGGGGCCTATTTAGAAATGGAAAATCTCAATTGAAGTGATGCAGCAAAAATTCAGAAAAGGACACAAAGAAAACATTCATAATCACCTTGATCCAGAGAACAAGAGGAACAGCAGAAGCTGCAGACAAGGAATCTGCTTCTGCAACCAGTCATCTAGCTTTGAAGTTATGTACGCAGCTACTTTGTGTGTAGGGGAAGAGGTAGCATGTGATTTCACATGGTTCAAAACTTCTTTGCCCAGCACATGGCTTGGTGAAATCTAGGTAAGCAACCTTGTCTGCAGGTCGGTGTTCTAAGAAAATGGAATCTGCCATGCTGTGACTTCACTTGATCAAGGTGTGATTATGCTTTTCACTCATTTTCTTTCTCGTTGCAAATGATTGCATCATGACAGTGGTGATAGAGGACTTCAAAAAGCCTAACAGTTGAGAGCTTTGTTCATTCTGATGAAATAACTTAGAGAAATAATAATTATTACACAGAAATCATCAACCAATAGCCAACATTATTTAGCTGGGCACGTATAAGCAACATATGTCACATGACCAAGAAATGTATAGCAGTTTTTTTTTCCTTCTCTCAAGGGGAACACTGCACATTTTCTTTGGCTAAATTTTCTGGACTTAAAAAAGTGGAAATTCAAACACATGTCAGTAGTTTTTAAAATGGGTCAATTTTTAAATATAATCTGTAGCAATAGCTGGATATCCATTTTGCTGGAATGCTTCACTTCTACTCATGAATATGGACTTATGGATCACTTATATAAATATTTGGATAAGTAGTCAAACATGAACTGGAAGATACATCTGCAATATATGTAAGGTATAGAATAGAATAATGAGGGTTATGTTCTTCAATACCTTTTTAAAAAACAAAATCGGTTCTAAAATCAAATATGAGAATAACTTAACTGGATTCCAAAAGAGCATTGCTTTCTTTCCATTTGTCAGAACCAGAAATATGAACCCGTGAAACGGAGGAAAGGAGGGGGGGGAGCCATTCACATCTTGCATTTTGTTATTTCTTCCCTCCTAGAATTGGGCCTGCTTGTGTGAATAAGAATCCAACACTTGAGCAATGATTTAAAAAAAAAGTTTTTATAACAGCTTTCCTCAAGCCAGCATTTTCCAGACGTGTCAGATACAAACCCCAGCAGTCTCGATATGTAGCAGGATTGGGGATATTAAGAAATGCAGTCTTACATACTTGGTGCCTGTCAGGACTGTGGCTTGTATTGGAAATCTAATACAATTCATCCTCTGTGGTCAGCATTGTTAAAATAGGGCCACTAGCTGTATGGCTGGCCATTGATGCCTATTTATTCTTCCTACCTATCTTCATGAATGTAAGCCAGATGTTCTCACATCTCAGCTGTGATAACCTCCATATCTCCAATTATCTGAAATGTGACAGGAATTGACATGGCTGAGATCCCCACATTGTGCTACTCGCATAAGTAGGTTCTTTTTAAGGGAAACAAAATTATCCAGTTGTAACATTTGCAATGGGCTCCAACTCAGACACAGTAGAAAATGTAAGCAAGCCTGATGTCTCCTGCTACCCAACTTTGCACCACCTTTATATATACCAATGTGCCATTTTCAAGGGTTGCTTTGTCAAGATTTCCCTAAATACTGGAATAAGCAAATGTGGAGAACTTGAGGGAAGTGTGCTTGGAGACTGTTTTTACTTAATCTGGATATTGAGGTTGGAGATGGAGCTGTAGGCAATGAAACCATCTGTGTGGCATATCATTCAAAACTGCCATTAAGACCTGGAGGTCCACCTGTATTCCTCATGTGCCTACCTGGTTTGTACTTGAGGGAATTCTGCCCTGCCAGGTTACTAGACCATCTTACACTCTGCTCTGGCCCATGAGGGTAAGAGGTAGAGAATCGCATCAACCTGCCATACTCTCAAGTGCCCTTCATTGAGAGGCTGTCTCCTCAAGAGCTTTATGGTCTGGTTTTTCAGGGCAGAGCTTTCTGTGGGTGGACAAGGTGTTTTTTTTTGCAAGTCCTACCTACTTTGTAACAAAATTCTTCCCTTGATTTTCAAGAGGTTCCGTCTTCTGTTTCCTTACCAATAAAAGCCAAAACGCCTTCATTGGAAGAAAGAGATTGTGCTGCCGTTGTGTACCATCAAACAGAAGGGGCGCTGGTCACCAAATGTTTGTGTGAGGATCCAGATGAGAGCTGACCTGCTACTGTGACCAAGTATTGAGGAAACAGGATGAGAAGAATGTACATGCTCTCTTTCTCCGTGGATAAGCAGCCTTATGCCTTGAGCTTTTCAAACTTAGTACCTCTTCTCTACATTCCCAGTATGCAGTTGGACTCCTCTAATGGGATGCTGGTAGTTTACAAAGAGCTGCGCACAAAGAAAATCTTGAGAAATCAGAATGCTCACTGAAAAACCTTTACACATGCACAAAAGGGAGAAAACAAAGAAGTTATGTAATAATCAAAATATTTCCTGTTTTCCCTTTCCCAACAATGTTATTTATTTAATTTTCTTTTCCCATGAAAAAAAGATAAATAAACAATAATTAAGCAGGATGTATTGAATGGTGCCATGATGTTCTTGTGTCTCTGGAAAGAGGTCCTTTTTTTCATACAGCTGAACTGATGGGATGGACCAAGATATGTGGGTTCCTGCAATGGGCAATATAGATCATTAGGTGGGTAGATGGATGGATGGATAGATATAGATTTTGTAGTGCACTTAGATATAACCACATACCAAATAAAAATACTGCTAAATATTAATATAAATGTCTCCTGTTTTTGCTACAAAATTAACTCAGTTTTGAATCTGAGAACCTAACATGCTGTTGGAAAGGTATGGATCTTCTGATTGCTTCCGAAACTTTTTTGCAAAGAAGTGCCTACTAATTTGATAAACAGGAAAATCAACTACGGCATTATGGAACTGGTTAAGTTAATACGAATTGTTCAAATTAATAGTCCCCCAAAAATCAGCTTAGAAAATTGGCTAAAGTACATGATGGATGAGGCAGGTAAGAGGAAAGAGATCTTGATCTTTGTTTCTACTAAAGAACTGGTAGACAGGAAAAGATTCATTTTTTAAAAAATTGATGAGTAATGAAAGAAAAATGGTGTAAAGTTGCACACTTTCCACAACAAAAATAGAAGAGCACTCTATAACATAGATGACAGCAACACCTGAAACTTAAAATACATAGCCTTCTTGGCACCTCCTATTTCTCCTGTGGTTACAAGTTATATGCCTTGTACTGTATTAAGTTACTACATATATCATCATCATATTTTCATGGGTATGCCAAATACCAGTTGCATTTTGGAAAACTACCGCCATTGCTAACATCCCACACACAATAGCCTAGAGCCTGACAGACTCTCAGATTCTACTTGATATTACCCTAATATCATCGGACAAGAAAATTACTTTGCTACAAAAAAACAAAGATCTTCAACAGCCACTTTCTGAAGTTGCTGCCTTAGGATTGGGCTGCTAAGATTGCTAATTCAACTTCTTTCTGGAGATGTTCAGGACTCATTCATGGAGCTTATTTCCTTGTTCTCCTGAGATGTGCAGGAAATGGGTGGTTTCATTTAACTAGTTGTAACTGAATAATTTTGGCCCTGACCCCTCATATACACAACTCCTGGGACCTTATAATGGTCTTGTGCAGGAATGAGAATCAGGATTAAAATAATCCCTAAAACATACCTTGTGTTTAGCTGGGCCTTAGCAAAAATGCATGACTGATTAGGTCCTCAATTTTAGAAGTAGTCAGGCAGGAGTAACTATACTGAGCCCTTTTTTGGATTAAAATACACTATAGCTGAATTTCAACTCTTGGTGGGTCTGCGAAGATACTTTTATTCTTCTGAATTACTAAATGTCTCCCTGGCTTCCTTTTTGTAGTGTTCAAAGTTTAGAAACAAGATATTACTACCCTACTTTCAGTCAAGAATGTGTAATACTATCTTATCCTTGAATGAATAAAAGAAGCCTTTGGGGATTTGTGAATCGGAGAACAAGGTCATATCAAAGCCTTTGTGATAAGGTTACCATCTTCTTCCTCATTTCTTGGGCACGAGAGCCTGCAGAATCCCCAGTGAACATGGTGCAAGTCATGCTGTCTTGAAAATCTGTAATTTCAACATATTTGGAGAGCAACAGGCCCAGGAAAGCAATATTATGTCTTGGTTATCAGATTAATTTATTGCCATCAATGCAATAAATGGGACAAATATATAAGGATCTAGAAAAAAATGTTTTAATTATTGCTTTGGCAGGAGCTGGTTGCACAATCCATGTTTCTTAAGGGTTTGAAAAATAATTATTTTCCAGAACAAACTGATGTGGAAAGGAATGGAATTTTTATTCTGTATTTTTGAGATAACCAAGGAAAAAATCTGAATCCCACCACTGTTCTGGATCATGTGAAGGCAAGTATCCCCTGGACCAAGAGGCTGGAACCAAACTGATTTTGAAAGCTGGAGACCTGCCCGACTGTTTTATTAATTGATTGTGTGCTTTGTTTTCTCCATGATGACCTGTCACTAAGCTTCATGTCTTACAAAGGTGTATCCATCTGCCTTCTGCTGGTCATCCTGTTCTCTTTTCCTCCATTTTTCCTAACATTAAAGCCTTTTCCAGACAGCATATTGTGTCTGAAGTAGGATCATTTGATTATTTGTGTCAAGAGTTTATGAGT